CCCGCTCCCCGCCGATGTCAGTTCGGGAGGGGGCGGGGGGGATTCACCCGTGTCTTACACCCAGCTCTTCTCAAGCCGTTCATCTCCGCAAGATGGAGACCGAGACGGGGAGGCACAGCTCTCGTCAGCGCTGTGAGGGGTCAGGAGGAGCGCGTTTCTAAAAGCCGCTTTTCTTTCTCCTCCCCTTGTCGTGTCGTGTCCCGTCGTCCCCCGTCCGTCCGTCCGTCCGTCCCCCCCCCGCCCAGGTGCGCGGTACCACGCCATGGAGGAGCGCGCCAACCTCATGAACATGATGAAGCTCAGCATCAAAATCCTGATCCAGTCGGCCCTGAGCCTGGGCCGGACCCTGGACTCCGACTTCCCTCCCCTGCAGCAGTTCTTCGTGGTGCTGGAGCACTGCCTGAAGCACGGGCTGAAAGGTGGGCGCCCGCTCCCCGCGGCTGGGCGGGCCGCCAGGCTGAGGAGAGGCGGGGGGATGAGTCTGGGTCGTGTCTCTCTGTGTCCCAGTTTGACTTCTCTGTGACGTTCATATTAACCGCATACACCATATGATCCTGATCGGTGTTACAGCTATAATGATGTGATTACCTTCTCGTGTACCTGTATTTCGTGCCTCCCAAACTGTCAAGGTATTTTTAATGCTTCCTTTTCATTGACATAGTAGGAGCTGGTATGACAAAGTAAAACGTGGACTAAAATTTGTAATTCTGGAGTTGGAAGCCTGTTGCTTTTCCTCACAAACTTCTCTGTATACTCCCTTTTAGTGAAGAAGACTTTTATGGGACAGAACAAATCGTTTTTTGGTCCTTTGGAGCTAGTGGAAAAACTTTGTCCTGAAGCATCAGATATAGCAACTAGTGTTAAAAATCTGCCGGAGCTGAAGTAAGTTGACTCTTGAGGATGATGCATTTCACTTATACTGCTAGGAAAAAGAATTTGTGTAGTCTCTTGCCTTCCTTAATGAGATTTTGTTCCCAAAGAGAAAAATAGGGTATGTGGGAGGCATTGACTTCTCCAAGAGATACAGAGGTTATTTCAAAATACTCAGTGCTTCTGATACAAACAATGCCATCAGATTAAAAACAGCATTTGAAAACTTCTATAACCTTTCTAAAAGTAACTGTAAAGGCTTCACAGTATTTTCTTTCCTCTTCTTTCCCTTACTTTTATGACTTTGTGTCATTTTGTGCATGTGCTAGTAGTATTTCATTTGGGTAATTCAGGATGATGAAGAGACTAGTTTTAGTGCTAGGATGCACCAATGGTTGGGTTATGGTGATACTTGAAAATACGTATGTCCTTCCACATTGGGAATACTGTACAAGATACTTTCACTTTGCTAAAGCAATGGGATATACTTAAATGCTTCTGTGTTCTGGAGACAACGCTTCATTTCCCCAAGGAATTTTTTTTTTTTTTAAATTTTGGGGTGTTTTTTATTGAATAACAACCTTCATCTCCCTTTGTAACGGGAGAATTTTGAATGGCACAAATCTACTTAATAAAATGCTTCGTTTTTACCAAAACATGCAACTTTCCACTTTAGGACTGCTGTGGGAAGAGGAAGGGCCTGGCTTTATCTAGCGCTCATGCAAAAGAAACTGGCAGATTATCTCAAAGTACTCTTGGACCATAAGCATCTGTTAAGGTAACAGTACAGACATACCTAGGTGGTATTCATCAAGTCACTGAAACCTTGCACTGCTGTAATAACACGTCATTAATCGACCAGTTTAAGCTTCTTCTTGCAACCTGCAGAGGAGCAAGCAAGTTGTTCATTGTTTTTGCAATGAACCTACAGAGGAACAAGTAGAGTATTTTCTGTGAGAGTTCTGCATCTTCTGCCTTGTGCAATAAATTACTGAGAAGGAGCTGATCAGCTGAGCTTTATAAGGGCTACACTACTGTTGGTATGATCTCAGTGGTGGAAGTACCATTATCATTGTTTGCTGTGCAGTGACGCCTTGTAAAATTTCTTCTAGTGAATTCTATGAACCTGATGCGTTGATGATGGAGGAGGAAGGAGCAGTCATTGTGGGTCTGCTGGTTGGACTGAATGTTATTGATGCAAACCTTTGCTTGAAAGGAGAAGACTTGGATTCCCAGGTGAAGATTAAAGCTTAAATAAGATCAGTCGGTATAAGATTCTAGTAGCATTGAGGACATCCAGAGATGGGTCCAGAATTCTGTCCAGAATGTTGAAGCTTGTCATGTTTTCCACGTTGAATCAAAAAACCCCATAAGAATCCATCTCTTTAAGTAGTTATGGAAATGCTGTCAAAACTAGTAACTGCTGGGAAGCTGAGCACACTGAACATGGTTATTTTGATGATTTTGCAACAAACACTAGCTTGCACATTTGCTTCAGCTAGGAAGGCTATAGGTATTGGCTGTCTCTCTAAACTTAAACTTCAGAATTACCCTTTTCCAAATATAAAGTAATGCCTGCTGCTATGCAGAATTGCACTGTGAAGGTGTGTTAATATCTTAAATATATTTTTCAGGTTGGAGTGATTGATTTTTCCTTGTACCTTAAGGAAACACAGGACAGTGATGGCAAACAGTATGTATGGCAAATTAGTGGTTCTAAATTGTTATGCTTTTTGTAGAACAAACCTGTCAGTCTGTGGGAGCACAGGAGTGCTAGAGATCTCAAACTCTTCTAATCCTCAAAAAAAAAAAAAAAGAATCCAAAATAGATTTTGTTAGTTACACAAAACTACTAACTTTCAAAGGTTGAGTCCATGGTAGTTTTAACAACATTACAGCATGGAGAGTTTGTGTCTTGAGCTGGGACCACATTAAAAGCACCCGAAATTTTAGATTGTCTTTTTATTTGGGTTTAGGAGACATGATCTGCCAGGTCACCCACTACTAAATCACTGCTTTGTTTCTAAGCACTGTTTCAGAAATGCTCTCAATTAAGTACCTGTCTTTGTGGGAGATATCACTTATGGAGGAAAAAAAGTAATTTTAGGTGAAACGATAGGTGAATTAGAGACTGCAACTGTTAACATCACTGTATCTAGAAGACTTGCAGTGAATGGAGGGGACTTCGTCGTTTGTGTGCTTCTGGCACTTCAGAGCACTTTACTGTTTAGCTGCTTCTCCGCAGCAGCTGAACAGCTGCTTCATCTCCCTGGTGCTTCCGGCCTAGCTCAGGCACAAGTATTTTTATTAAAAAAAAAAAAAAGGAAAAAAAGGTTTCAACTCAGTTTGCAAGTCTATGCTGAAAACCCTAGTACAAACTAACACTTTAGGATGAAGGAGTTTCTTCTCAATCAATAAATTCTCCCTTTTACAACTAGAGATGGAGGGATCACAGCTGTCCTTGACCAGAAGCATTACGTGGAAGAACTTAACCGACATCTGAGGTGGGATTCTCATGTTATGATGTACAAACACTTGTCCTGTTTAGCTTTTCCAGTATGGCTTTGAATGTCTCTGCCATCAGTCTTGCAGATTTTTGTCTGATATTGAAATGTCTTTTCTGATTATTTCTCAAAATCTTAGATTCATTTTGTAATCTTACTCTTCTGATGGCCTATGCAATGCAGAAACAAGTCTATGTAATAAAAGTTTGCTTTTTTTGAGACTTATTAGTGATTAACAGAAGATTTTGGAGCTACTTTTTCAAGAGAAAACTATTGCAAGTGCATATGGAGATTCCTGCTTTAGAGGAACAGTCGCTATTCTTCCCCTGTAGGTTGCTCAGTGGGAGGAGGCCTTGCTTGCCCTCATGATTGAGGGGTGTGTTACGACTGCAAAGCTAAGCCAGAACAGGGCTGACAACTGATACAGTAGGCTGCCGACTGTAGGGAAGTGCATGGTCTTCTCAGTGCTTAAGAGGGACAGTTGTCCTTTCTCTGGGTTTTTTGCCGGCTCACCAAGTATTTCATTGTTAACAAATGCAAGATGGTAAAAGTGTGGTTGAGGACGGACAGGAATAAATGTTGAACAATGCCACTTCTTTTATTGTTTTTATGCATCTCTTTTCCTTGCTGCAGTTGCACAGTTGCAGATCTTCAGAACAAAATAGACTGTTTAGAAAAGACCAATTCAAAACTCCAGGAAGAGGTTTGTATCTGGCCTGTTAAAAATTTCTCATAGTTCACTTCCCTCAGAGGCAAAACTCCTTGAGAATATACCTTAGACCTAAGATATTCAAGTTGATACTAGTGACATGGGGGATTGGTAAGACTGGCATGAGTTGGCACAGGGGGAAGGCTCTGTGGAAAGCTTCTGCATTACATTAGCTGTTAGAATGCTTATGGGCACCTCTTTGGAAGACGGGTTTCCTTAGTCACGTTTTTTGTCTTGCAATGCTGTCTCCACCTGAAAGTAATCGTACCACTATAATGAACGTGACTTGTCCCTCTTCCTTCTGCACATACACGTGTATGTGCTTGTCATGCGAGTTAAACAGAACTTGGTAAAAGAGAAGGGAAGGAATCACACTTCAATGGGGAAACCTTTCCTAGCTGGGAACTGAAATAGCATCCAGCAGCATGCATGATAGTGGTTGTTTTGGGTTTGGTGGTGGTGGGTGTATATATGTACCTCTGTGTAGTCCGACTTCCAGTACTTTTTGGGGTACCTCTGCTTGAAAATGCCGGAAGGTTCCACCAGTGAACGTCAGCCCTGGCTTGCTGTATGACTTCTAGTTCATACCAGAATGAACACCACCGATCTGTGGTGGATTTTAGCCTCGTACACTAGGATGCACTTCTTTGCACAGTTAATATTTAAAAATAATCGATGAGGGCGTGAAGCAGAAGTCAAGTGAACAAAGGCTGGGGGCTTATTAATGTGGGCTGTACAGTGAGGATGGCTGGAGAGGGGCCGGGCAGCTCCTGGGGAGAACACACGGGACGAAAGGGGAAGTGAGCAGCACACCTGCTACAAAGGCTGAGCTGCTAACTTTAGAATTCCCCCAGATGTTGCATGCTTGTACAGTGATTAAATATAGATGTGCTTTCTTTGTAAACAGCTTGCAGCAGCAACTGACCGAATTGGATCGCTTCAGGAAGAGCAGCAGCAGCTAAAACAACAACATGAATTAATTCGTGAACGGAGTGAAAAAAGTGTAGAGGTGGGACACCTATTTAAAGATGAGGAGGATCCTTAAAATAAGTGAACTCGTCTGTAGTTAGTGCTCTCAAACGCGCTTTGGACTGGAATGCTAAGCACAGTTGAGCGTGCTGCTGTGTGTGCAGTATGCACAGGCATTAGGTTTTGCTGTTCTGCTACACACTGAAACATGTACTTGCAGAAGGGAGAAAGCATTAAAAGTGTTAGAATGCTTTCTTTTCATTTTTACTCTATTCTCTGAAATTTCTGCTTATTAATGCTTGCCAGCTTATTAGTTGTAAAATAGGAGGATTTTACTTGAGCTAGCACATGGAAATACTGTGTTACACACAGTAGCTTAAGGCATACTTTAAATACTTTGTGATCTTATGGGGCTTTTTTGCTGATGTTTCTTGTAGGTAACAAAAGAGGATACAAAAGTAGAATTGGATACTTACAAGCAGTCGCGCCAGGGTCTGGATGAAATGTATAGCGATGTTTGGAAGCAGTTGAAAGAAGAAAAAAAAGTCAGGCTGGTAAGGAAACTTAACTATAGAAACTGAAAAGAAAGATGCAGGATTCTGCATACTGTAAGGCAGCATTACAGATACCAGACGAACGCTGTGTGCTTTTTGCAGCTCTTCAGAATTCATAAAGGAATTGCAAGCAAGCTGCTGGACATTGGTCATTACCAGTGTCTCTAAAGAACTGGAAACTAGGTCTTTTGGAATGCTAAAAATAAAAGGTCTTTCCC